TTCTTCAACACCCAGGGCCTTGGGGTGCACATCAAAACTGACCATGAGCGTGAAGCGAAGATCTCAGTTCAACGGTGGTGTTCAATGAACAGGAAGGGGGCGGGGGCATCATCTCTCCTCCCTTGGGGTGGGACGCCGTCAGGGCGTTGCTGGCACGTTGCGTTTCACCATGGAGAGAGTCGCGGATGCGGCGCGACATGTCCGCCAGGGTCCGTGACGTTTGTGCTGCAGCCTTTACGCCCTGGAGTCGAGCGGAACAACAACCTCGTGAACGACGGCTTTTCACAAACGGAGTCGCCACCAAAGCAAACGTGTGGAGCAGCCTCGAGGAGACGGTACACCTCGCGCGAGAAGATCGGTGTTATTCATGAGCTGCGAGATCTGGAGTCGCGGTCAACGGAGGTTCGTGCGCGCTTCGGTATGACACCTCTTTTACTTGGAACATAAGTCAGGGATCTCCGCCAGCAATATCAGCAAATGGCAGAAGGATGAAGACTCTCTCGTGCAGCAGGCAGCTGACAAGGTGCGGAGTAGTCTGATGGCGACATGCACTCGACGGCGGCTGTGGTTCCCTGACGCGGAGAAGGAGCTGTACAAGATGTTGCTGGCACGACGCAAGAGGAAGCTGCGGGTCTCGACAAGGTGGATCACGGTCACTTTCGTTTCGAAAAGCTTATCATGGAAAGGTACCCGCAAGATCCACGAGCAAAGGCATTCCGGCCCGGCACGAGCAAGATCACTGTGACGAAAGCACGCGTAGCATAAGGATGCCGTTGGAGTCGTACAGCACGGATGAAGACGCTGCAATTGGGGCGTGGGTTCTCCTAGAGGTAGACCCAAAGGAAGGTAGCGGGAGGCGCAAAAGGGTGACAACCCCCAATGTTCGCCTCACGGAGCTTGCCTCATAATGACGGGGTAGTTTTCGTTGTTGGCACGTCAGCGTGCGGGTGAGGCATCATGCGGTGTTTATGCATTTGTTTCAGCCCTCACTCATGAGGGGGGTACAGGACCTTGTAGCGATAGCGAGACGTCGCCACTGGATACATTTCGCTTCTAGGGAGTGGCCTTACGTGCAGCCGTCGGTAGTGAGAATCGGGGTTGAGTACGGGGGTCGAGGAAAGCAGTGCAAATCATTTGTATATTTGGAACGTTGTGTAGTATGCAAACAGAGAAATAAGAAATTGCCGATTTAAGAAATTCAGCAGGATTTGGCTGCACGAAAAAATAAGAAACTTGAAGTAAGAAACTGAACGACATACGCTGAGTTTATGTCCCACAATAAGAATTCGAGGCTGGACCTGAAATAAGCGTTTCTAAACTGCGGGCGCCAACTGTATGTGCTGGCACGCAGTTTGTATGAGAGAGACTTGAGGGTGATACGCACCAGGTCTCGATCCGCCGAGAGACAAAAAAAACCCCAAAGAAACGCCAGACACGAGATTGTTTTTTTGAAAAAATTGATCCCAGCGGCTGGCTGATCCGGAGTTCGCTGACTGTCGAACAGTAGCATCGACTCGCTCACACAGTAGGCTGGACATTTTCAACCCACGCACCGCGCCTCTTCTTTTTTTCTCTGTTTTCGGCGGCTGCTTCGAATCCAGCGGCGGCTCGGTGTTGTTTCCCGCCACAACTACAATGACGTCGCGCACGACGGTTGATCCCGCAGCTGACGGTAGACAGAATACGTACGTAGACTAGACAGAGAAGAAACAAAAGGATCCACCATACATCCCCCCCCACAAACACCCACGGGCGGATCTTCGTCGTAACTTTCAGAGACAGCAAAGACACCCCGCTTTGAGCCACCTTCTCCAAAATTTCTGTGAAACACTGGAAGCGAGTCTCCTTGCCCCCGCCGCCACAACCACCACAACAACGCAAGGATCTTTCGCCGTGGTTGACGATTCGTCCACAACAAGCGTCGAGTTTTCTTGTCGTCCTACTTTCAAGTAAGCAAAAATGCTCCGACTTTACAAAAACAGGCGCTATTACGCCGGCGGCACGGCTCGGCGGCCCGAGTACCGGTGGTGCTACGCCGAGCAGGTGGACCAGGCCGCTCCCATGCCCGACAGGAGCAACGGCTGGCGCTACCTGGGCCCCCGAGAGGGAGAGACCTACAGGCGCCAGGCGGGCTTCGGGGCCGGGTTCCGCCTTCGCCTGCCGTTCCCCCGCCTCCCCGTGGGGCCGGGGCACCGCTGGTCTGACTTGCACCCGCTCGGCGGCGATCCCGACCTCTTAGACTTCCAGGCCTGGGCGAGGACGATGCTGCGCAGGCGCCTGGTGCACCCGCGCAACGCCGACGCCTGCCGGCTATGGTCCATGACCTTAAAAAAAAAGGGTTGGACGGTAACTGAGATTCTCCT